GACAACGCCGGCAAAACGACGACGCTTTACAAGCTGCATTTGGGAGAGGTGGTTACTACGCACCCTACTGTTGGCAGCAACGTTGAGGAGCTTGTCTACAAAAACATACGATTCGAGGTGATATAAATTGAATATTCTAATTCAAGTTGTTAATTAACCTCTCTTGTTAATGGATTTTTTGTGTGCTGGAGTTATAAATTGAAGAAAATTTGTAGCTTTGATAAGTAAATTATTAGTTTGATCAAATTGAGATGGTCTTTTATAGATTATCTGTGTTTCTTTTGAAATGTGCTAAAAATATTGTACTAATAATTTCATTAAGCTTATTTTACTGGGTATTTTTGGATATTGTGGTGTCATTCATTTGAGGAAATTCTTAAGAATTTAAGTTTAACAGTCATATTGAGAAAAGATACCTTAAATTTGGAATATGCTGAAGAAAATAAATATATGCATTTTTGTGTTGTTGCTTGTCTTATCTAAATGAAGTCTACACCCAATTACTTGGTGTAGGTATTTGATGAATACTATGTGATTTCTATCCTTGGGGTTCAGATATCGACGCTTTCAATATTTTGTAAATTGTAACTTATGATGGATTAATCACCAAAAAGCTTTATATATCCTGATGATACTTTTGTAAAATTAAGGTTTCAATTGGAGGTTAATGATTTGATATGCTAAGATAACTTTAGGACGCTCTTGAGTTAAACAATGTCTATGAAAAAAGTTCAACTTTCTAACTAGAACTACTAAATTATGGCGACAAAAATGTGTAGATTACTTATCAAGTATGTGTTTCTCGGTGCTAGTGGGTTGGGCTGTTTCAGGTTAATAGAATTAGATTTAAGGGGACTGTGTGTTGTTTGTGGTTTCTACTTTCTACTCCTGAAATGGTCTGTTCGGAGGTTTCCTCATGTTGTTGTTGGGATCAATTGCCAGAAACCCCTTTCCAATTCCGAAAAGTGATAACAAGAGCGGTTACCTAGTGGATATTGGTAATTTAAAGGATATTCATATTCTCATGCCTTATTTTCTGAATTGTATCAAATGTTGGAGAGAAGAGGATATAAAGTGATGTTATGGAGATTTTGAATATCACATATTGTGCTTATATGTTGAATGTGCTAGTAGTCTAACTTTTCAGTGATTGCAAAACATGAATTTGTTTTGATCGGGATACGTTTAATATGGGGTCAGAAGGTTAAAGACTGATCAAGGTGGAATGTAGCCAGTGGCTTGGGTTCTCTTGTTTCTGCGACTGAATTTCTATTGATGTATCAACATCGGATTTTAATATTTTGACCAATCACAAAATTTAATATTAAATCTCTAGTGGAAAGGTACTAGCTCAAGTGCATATCAACAAATGTAAATTGTGCACCTATGAGTTTTAGATAGCCCCAAACATGGAAAGTATAATTTGAAAATGTGAGCACAAATAGATCTTAGCAATGAAGAAAGTTAATATACCTATTAGTTTATATGGCACATAAACGAAGATTGACATAAAGCTATATCTGAAATTATTTTACTCGAGGATTTTTCACTCACAACTTAATCCTTAGCCTAACTGTTAGCTTCTGACAGTGTCAAGATTTTGTTTTTTTGGTTTTCAAGTATTTTTGTATGATAACTTGGGCCTCTTGGATTGAAGAAGTTTTCTAAGGAATCAAATGTATATTTTCCAAATTTCTAAAGCCACTTTATGGATGAAAAAATTCAAAAACTCATAGCCGCATTTTCCAAAGCTTGAGAAGGGTGGTGTGGTTTGCTGGCTGCCTTTTGCTATTTTATAAAAAGAATGTGCAAGTGCAATGTAAATAGAAAAGAAGTTCCTTTCATTTTTGGCAAATCTCCTTCTTTCATTTCCCACAACAATCTCACGCAGATAGCAGTGGAACAGGTATTCAACTATTGTAGGTAACATTCTATTAACATCTTGTAAACATACTTTATATAGATGGGACTTTGTGTTATATGCAAATGATAAATCCGAAAATGTAAGTTGATTTTCAGTTTGCATTTATATAATGTAATAAATTTTTATCATCTGTTCATCTTAATTCCTAAATACGATGACTGTATCGTAGAAGCAAGTGACAAAAGCTTCAGAATCTTAAATATATAAGCTCTGAGGAAAGGTGATATTTTGCTTCCAAGAGAGGGCCCATTTTCCATTTCTTGTTTTTTTGTTATATTGGATTCCCAGACCTTGGATTTTTGTCTAGATTTTATCTTTGTTTTGGCTACCTTACGTAAGGAAGAACTGCAGATTTTTCTTTTCTATTTTTTTCCTAACAATTCAGGGTATGTGTGGGTTCCATTTTCCCATATATATTTTTTTAAAGTATATATAAATTACTAATTTTAATTGTTTTGGAATGAACTGAAACATTTTTGATACCTCTGAAACAGTGAACTGGTACCTTAGAACTCCAATCCTGACAGACCAATTTGCACTATTAATCTTTTCTTCTATGGAATGTTAAAATATTGAGTTAACTGATGTATTTCTACTGGAATAGAGAATCTCCAAAGATCTGTTTGACGTCCATATCTTCTATACATGGATATTTGATGGAGGGTTTCTTGGTCTCCATACTTAAGTTGTTTGACCTAGGGCTTAATTTAGTGGTTGGCCTTTTGAGGTATAAAGAATTTCATATTTGAGCTTTCTAGATGCATGTCGGAGGTTTAGCTATAAGAATTTTTTGCAAGGACTTTTTATCATTTCCCTAGAAGATGTTCTTGATTATGGTGAATGTTAGATAACTAAACAGTCTTATAGGCTAGAATTTGTCCTGTGGAAAGTGTGTTGTTTATGGAAAGGTTCTATATCATTTGCTCTAGGATTAATGGTATGCTCATCATTATTTATCTATGCCACTCACCCCACCAATTTTATGAGACAGAATGTATTTTAGGAGGGGAGACCTCTATCTTGCAATCTAAGTGTTTTCAAATTATTATTCTTTGTTTTTACTCATTTTGAGGTGGGTTCATGCCTAGCTTGTAAACAGGTTTGGGATCTCGGTGGGCAAGAGAGACTTCGGACATCATGGACAACATATTATCGTGGGACGCATGCAGTTATCGTAGTGATAGACAGCACCGATAGAGCTAGGATCTCCCTTATGAAGGATGAACTATTTAAGCTGCTTCCACATGAGGATTTACAAAGTGCAGTTGTACTCGTCTTTGCAAACAAACAGGATCTTAATGATGCCATGACTCCTGCTGAAATAACCGACGCTCTATCCCTCCACAGTATCAAGAACCATGATTGGCATATTCAAGCTTGCAGTGCTCTCACTGGCGACGGTCTGTATGATGGTTTGGGATGGATCGCACAGCATGTCACTGGGAAAGCGCCAAGCTAGAATGATGAGGTCCCATGAAAATGTTATTGTAATGTTTTCCAGTTCGGAGAATAGAGATCGTTTCATGTATCATTAATCTTGTGGTTCGGAATTCTCATGTTGATTTTTCTTGAAAGGGTTGTCTTGGGCAAAATTTCCCTTTATTGTAGTTGATATATGTCAAAACATTTTTTTTTATCCATATTGGCAAAATCAATGTAACATCTTGAAAATATCTACTATTTTTATTTCATATTTCAAATTAAATTTATGAGATCTCTCTTTTCTTAGTTCAACCGATTTTCATTTTGCGGAAGGCATCATGAAGATATTGTGAACTCTTCGAAATGATATCTCGAAATCAAATTTTTTGAGCTCGAAAAACGTACTGAATTTAGGTTGCAAAAGGTTTTTATGACATTGACATATTTTATTATATACACGATGTATGTTAGGGTTCAATTGTATTGTATTCGGAGTAGTTGCAGCTCTTGTNTTATGACATTGACATATTTTATTATATACACGATGTATGTTAGGGTTCAATTGTATTGTATTCGGAGTAGTTGCAGCTCTTGTGTTCATCTTTAATATAGTAATTTTTTTCTTCCTCTCTTCGGATTTATTCATGTCTTGAGTTTTCATGTAACTCTTATGTTCTGGTTTGTATCTGCAAATTCTTGATTTAAAAATTGTATTAATAAATTAATTTACAGAAAAAATATTCATCACTAAATAAAGTAAGAAAATATAATAGAAATTAATATTATTTCATTAATCAAAACAATTAGAAAAATAATTCAATGAGTAAAAAGGGTTTTCAATAAAAAAAATATTTATTCAATAATCAAAGTAATAAAATTAAAAACTTACGAGTAAAGAAATAACTTATTCTTTGACGATATTGAAGAAATAATAAATAATTTCAAACTTGACCGTCTATAACTTATAAAAAAAAATAAAAAAATAAGTTTTGTCGATAACCTGCATCAATAATCAAAGTACTTTTAGTAACTACTAGTCAAAGTTGAACGTGCATTGCACGATATTCTAAAATACTTTATAAGTGATATAAAAGTAATATTGGATACCAATTTGTTGGAGGATTTGACGAGTCTATGATGAATTAAAGAAAATAAAATTTAGTATAGAAATTTAAGAAAAGAAAATTGACTCTCAAAACTCTATTTCGATAATTCATTTTTTTTTTTGAAATACGATAAATGAGCAATCCTTTTATATTACATTTTGATACATAAAAATTAATTGTTGATGCATAAATTTAAAAATCCATTAAAATTTCTAGATACATAAATATAAATAAATTCATTAATAAAAACTCTAGATTCATGTAATTCAAAATTCATCAAGTAAAAATTCATTGAATCTAAATTAATGTGAATATTAACTAATTTAGAATTAATAACACAAATTTCATAAATGACAATAATTTTGTAGTATTTATTACATATCAAAAAACGAAAAGTAAAGTATTATTGAAATAATTGAATTGTAGGAAATTAAAATCGTTCAAAAAATAATTCTCCCTCGATGTAATATTTTAATATATTATAGATTTGCTTCATTTTTTTTAATCTTTTATTATCTCTAATCTATTAAAATATCACATCAAGTGAATAATTTTTTGGACGCTTCTAACCCAACTACAATTCAATTATTTCAATAATATTTTACTTTTCATTTTTTAATATGTAATAAATACTACAAAGTACAAAATCCTTGATCATGTATGAATTTCGTGTTATTAATTCTCAATTAATTAACATTCATACTAATCCAGATTCAATGAATCTTGATTTGATAAATCTTGATCTACATGAATATAGAGTTGTCATGGATGAATTTATTTCTATTGATGTACAAGAAATATTAATGGATGTTTACATTCAGGTATTATCAATTAATTTTTATATACCAAATATAGTATTAAAAAATTGCTCATTTGTAGTATTTTATCATCACAAAAAATTTAAATCATAGAAATTGAGTTTTAGGAGTACAACTTTTTTCTCTTAAATTTTTATCCTAAATTTTGTTTTTTTTATATTCTATTTATGTCGCATTAGATTGAGATCAAGGCCTATCATATCAAGTATTACTTTGATTTGCACTTGTTAGATATAATCAAAAGATTTTGGAAATTTCATGTCTTTTACAATGATTTTAGTTTGACGGAGATAAATGCTTCAAGAAAAATGGCCTACATTGAATATTTGTACATGATTGTTCGATATGATCAAAAGATATTGGAAAATTAATGTCCTTTAGGATGATTAAGAGAAGGATCAGTTCTTACATTTAAGTTTTTATTTACGTATCCGATTTATGTGATGCTCCTACGTTTAGCCTCATTTTTTGTTTTCCTTCCATCTCTCTCAATTTATTGTTTGTTTTCTTAAACAAACTGATTTATTTTCTTTTCTTTTCTTTTTATTTATTTTTATTTTATTATTTTTTTAATCAATATCAATTTGATAAGACACGTTTAGACCTTTTCATGATTATCAACGAGGTATGAAATGGGAAAAAAAACGAAACCAAAAATGCATTCAATTCCTACCTAAAGTGATGCCTGGTAGAACTACGTTATTTAATTTCCATATAGGAGAAACATTTTTTATTAGAATGGAAATCAACCAAATATTTTCAAGTGAATTTTTTTGGAGTAATTGAATTGTTTCCTGAATCTCATTAACTGTTGCTTTTGGAATTATTGTTACTATACATGTAGTACAAGTTTGTTGTCGATGTTGAATGGCGACATGATGAGCATCAACCTTTTGTCAGTAGTAGCATAGGAACAGTGAACACTTTGCTCATAGATGTTTGAGAATACACCGATTATGTGCATATTATATTCATCAAACGTAACTTATACGTTCACGAAATCGAAACAAGGTTTCGACTTACCGAAATGGAGTTTGAGAAACTAACCAATGATAATCGAATCTGACAATTTCCATTCTTGAATTAAAACATGTGATTCTTCTTATCGAACCTTGCATAAATCATATAAATAAAATTAATCATTTTTTGAAATCAAGTATGAAGAAATGAAATCAGAAATAAGGAAAAATTAGATGCAAATGATGCGATTGATCGAGGCGAGTATTACTCTTTCCTTAAGATGAATTTGCCTCGCATTGGTGCTAACGGTTTTTCGACAATCATCTCCCAAGATACAACAACCACGTCAAGCCATAGGAGCACTCCAAATGACTTCGACCAGCGAACTCGAACGGAATTCCCTCTCCATCAAGGAAATACATGAAAATACTATGGAATTAGAAATGAGAGAATTGCAAGAGGAGAATGAATGCTCAATGCAATTGGTGTACCCAAAATCATGTCCATATGGTTCTATTTATAGATGTAGAAAGGGTGCAAATGAAGTAATGTGAGTAAAAACATGCATCCTTTCAAAAGGTTGCAACACTTGGCCAAAATTTGCATCATTTCGAAAAGTTGAAATACTTCATTTCTTCCAACTTTGGTTCACAATTTCGCATTCATCTGGAATTGGTTTCGAGATTTCAAATATACCACGACGAGTAGAATAAGCTGGTCTATTTACTTTTGTAATTTGACCATCGGATCAAGTCTGAATATTTGGTCGAATTTGACACGTAGTCATACCTTTTCATTTTTCACTTTTACACACCTTTTCATTTTCCAATTTTTGGTTAATTATTTGAACCAATTCCTACAATCCCCCACATGAATGAAAATTGGGGTACGCATATGCAAATGCGATGATATGATGTAATGTAGAGAGGGTGCGAAAAAATATTGCATCAGGGAATGTAGCTTCTGACTTTGAACCTCCCTTAGTGAAATACTATCGGACTTACTCGACTAATTGGTGAACGTGATGTCTTGAACCATTCATCCTTTAGTGTAAGCCAAGACAACGATACTCACAGAGATGTCTTTCCTAAACCGTTCATGATTCTCATAACTTGGTTCATTTTGGCCTCGAACCCTTCTTGGTTCTGAAAGTGTTAGCTTTGAATAATTCTCATTGAAGCAGCCCCACTTCACACTCACATAGGTGATCTCCTATTAAGAGTATTCTGCCCTACTCCACTTGACTTAATCAAAATATAAGAATCATTAAAATATTATCTTAACCTCTTACAACTCTTCAGAAAGCACTTTGATAACATAGGAATGAGTTAGGAAACTATTTTCTTTAGTGCTTCATGAAATCCTCATAACTTAGTTGTCCCTTTGAACCAAGATCCTGGGATCTCCAGTTAACAAGGTAGGGTTACCATTACAAGAACTCTAACGTAGTAGGCTTTACCTCATTCCCTTTGATATGCAGTATTATTGATCTCTCTTAGTAAATCTCTTTAAAGGTACCACGAGTTTACATCATTGAGATTATCTGCTTAGTGGTATTATGTCTATGACTTATACGTCTAGACCTACCATTACATGTGATTTAGTATCTTATCAAATATAGTTAGCCAACGATCAATTTATTTGATAGATGCAAATTGTCACCACCAAGAAATCTTCTCATAAAGCTATATACCCCATTAGCTTTATCAATTTCCAAACACGGTTGGAGGATTTCTATTAAACACTACACTAGTCAATCACTTTTACTAGTGGATTTCAAAATCATGGGTATTCAATATCATCACTGAAACATTACGATGCATTTGAACTTTATGAATATTCTTCATATGTTCCAATTGTTCTTGCATGTCTAAACAAACGCCGTAATCAGCTTTACAACCCATTTCATCTACTTTAGACTTAGTATATATCATCCTTATAATTAGTATAAGGGTTTTCTATCTTTCTATCTTCATAGATATCGTTCTGTGATTATAAGATAAAAGCAAACGTAATTGTTAAATTGAGTTACCCCAACAATTCCTCAATTAGGAATACATATGCAATCTAGTAACGTTGCATCCATAAGTTTTAAACTTTTCATTCAAGTTCACGAGCATTTATGATAATCCCCCACATTTTTGGGTTACAATTCAACTTAGGGTTTAGCAATTCTTTCATAGTTCAATTTATTTATCTCTTAGATAATATTCATATCGAGTGCTTCGTGAAAATCTAAATACTTTCAAAGTAGTGGTCGTTGACTCACAATTTATTTCAATTAAAGTTGCATATAACGTACTTCAATCCAATTATTTTAATTTGATTATTCAAATTAAATCAAGGCCATCATCTAGACTAGCAATGCTATCCAAGTA